CGTTAATTATTCATAAATGGAGTCAATTTGTGTAGTTTTCTTGACTTATTCTGCAGATATCGGTGAAATATAGGTATGGCTTTGGCGAAATTTAAAAGAGCAACCAATATTCTTCAAGCTAGTATGTTTTAGATTTTATTTTTCATTCTGTTTGACTGATTTTTCGAGTTTAAAATTATGAGCTCACTGGTGCCTTCATCCCTTGTCTATTTCTTACACTAGAAACCAGCCGACCCTCCCCCGCTCATAGGGACTGCGTACAGTTGATTATAGTTCCTGGGCTTCCTGTGGTTTAATATGAGAAAAGACGTTCATTTTTATATCGCATTAACAAACACCATACATCCGTCTACCTATACATCCAATCTACGTTCGTGCATTTATTGGTTCGTTTTAGGCTATTGTGTCTGTTGACAGGCTGTCTTGGTGTTAGCATATAATTATAGGTGTTTTTCATTTTGCTAGGGTTAGCTGGTTTAATATGGTTAAGCAGATTATTTGTCTGCTTTCATTACCATTTTTACATTCGCGGTGAGTTGATTTCGTAGTGAGTAGCTTTAGCAGTGAGTAGGGCTTTGTCACAGTGACTGGTCATCAGACTTTCGAATTAGTTTTATGTGCCATTAACAACTAGTATTAATCTGGGAATAACCAACGTTAGAAGCTGTTATTTTGTTCTTATGATTCGTGCAGTTGCTCTGTCAGGAATTCCCAAAGAAGACCCATGCTCTGATATTGTTTTCTAGTTTCTTACATCGACCAAGATACATTTGACCATTTATAGAATAAATTATAGTATAAAACACATGTATAACTATTCTTTAGTATTGAAATAAAATATATAAATCAGGGATAATGTCAGTGTTATTTACTAATAGGGATTGTCAACTTGTCCATGGGGCTGCAGGAGTTAAAAAAAATAGTGTATTCACTGTCATTTATTTTGCAGTTTCGTGTTCTTGTACACCATAGCTTCCATAGTATCTTTTTTCATTTTACAAAAAAACTTGATCTCCCAAAAAAGAGTCTTACAGGCCGATTTTCACCTATATTGATATTGTAAATTTAGCCAAGCGGTTATTTATTAGAGGCGCCCGTGGAACCAAAAATTTAGACGTGAATGACTCCAGCGACGTAAAATCGGGTGAGGGGCTATTTAACTCAGGGATATCTACGGTAATTGGGTTGTATAAAACTCATGATAAAACCTCGTTTGTAATTGTTTTACTTGTCTATAATTCTGATGGATTTTTTGTAAAAACACACCGCTACGCAAGTTGTACGAAATATCAAATATTTTAATACATAACAATAATGCGAATACAAAAACTAGCAATTACAGAACTACAAAATCAAGAACAATTTGGGCAGGGGCCCTCTGACTACCTGGGGCCAAGGTCAAGGTTGCTGACCTTGAGTGGCAAGTTTTGGTTAAACAAGAATGCCGAGAATGGAGGATGGCCACTTCAGAATTATGACGGTATTCTTGAATGGGGCGCAGGAGGAAATCCTTGGCCCTTAGCCTTGACCCAAGTCATAACGAAAAGATCCAAGGAGGAAGAAAGGGGACGGTGGAGGGTTAGCTAGCGATGTGCACTGAGGCGAAACAGAAACCTGAATGAAAAGCTGAAACAAAGAAAGTTGACAACAAAGCTAGGTGACGCTAAGAGACATATGGAACTTGACACTTACCTTGGTGCTAATTAGATGAGAATAAAAGCAGTTAAATGGTAAAAATTACCGACCAGTGATTGGCTGGAGTTGATACTTCAGCGATCCGGATTAAGCCTCAAGCTCAGTGCTTTTACAAAATGGGTCTGTGACACAACAGACCCCACGATTTTTGATGGACATCAACAGGTTATCTAACACTTTCTTCATGTTAACAAAGAATGTGGCCAAGTACTCATTCACTTTACCAAATACGGTTAACGAGGCCCGGGCGTGATATAGAAAATTATTGCACAGCCTGCGCATCGGGATTCACATAGCGTTAGAAAGCCAGGAAAATACAAGGTACTTATATGATAATATGAAGTATAACATTCCATGATATGATGCAAATCCCATTTTGTATATGGTCAAATATTTATTGGTCAAAATAATAAACAAGAGCATGTGTCTTATTCAGGAACTCCTACAAGAAGAAAGACGAAATTAACAGCTATTAACAGGTAGATGATTAAGATAAAAAAACAGTTCAGAAAATTTACATTTCTACTTGTTCAAGTTTATATTTGAAAACTGTTTCACTGTTGTTCTTCCCCGTAGTGTTTTTTGAATATTGTTTTTATTTCTAATTTTGTTAAATTGTTGATATTTTCAAGGTTATAGAATTGTGTTCATAAGTTTCTAACCATGACCCCGCTTTCCAATTTTTCCCCATGTCTTTGTAAGCATAGACTGCCATGTAACGTTTCTTTATTTTATTGAAGTATAAACAGAAGTTTATTGCCGAGCTGTGTACTTTACCAATGTGAGGTTGAGCTCCATTCTACATTCTATTTTGTTGAATTTGTTCCCTACATCCAAAATTTGGTTAATATCAATATTTGTGTTGTATTAAAC